AGCGGAAAATTTACAGAAACATAAGAATCGAAAATGTCCATTTTTCTTCATTTTGTTTGGGTCTTAAAACCTCGGTTTTTGGGCGATTTGAAGGAGTTTTTCACGACTTTAAATTGGGTAAGTATTCTTTAACCAAAAGTGATTATATTTCATAAATCCATACCTATAATCATCCTTTATTTCGGATTTAGATGGAAAAATTTGGAATTTTTGTAAAACTTTTCAAGAGCGAAAAATTTAAATTTGAAGGTCGATTTGACATCAGATTTGGATAATTATTGTATGATTAGACTTGTCTCGGAATGGGTGTTCGGATTTCGTAAGTTTTTTCGAGATTTGAGACGTGGATCCCACTGTCGAATATTTAAATAAATTTCGGATTTTTATCTGGAAAATTAGTAAATTCATATGGAATTAATTCCTATGATTCGTATTGAGTATATCGAATTATTTGTGAATAAATTTTACGTTTTTGGAGATAAATTCAAAAGGAAAAGTTGTGGTCGAATAATTTATTGGAATTTGCAAAGTGAGGTAAGTGTCGTGGTTAACCTTGACTTGAGGGAATAGAACCCTTAATTATTTGTTATGTGAAATGCATGTGAACGACCTATAGGCGAGGTGACGAGTGTCTATACGTCGTTAAATTAATTGTTTGCATATTTATTTTAATATACGAATTAATTATTATAATATTTTTTTCTCTCCTATTCTTTTTTAAATATTAAATCTTAAATTCCTGCAATAATTGCTACATGTTTATTTGATTTATGCGCATTAATTGCTACTTGACATTTAGCATATTAAATATTAAACTGCTTATTTTTTCTCTGATTTTCATAATAAATTGCTGTTTGTCATTGTTTGGTTCATAAATAAATTATAATTATTTTGTGCCTTGATGTTTAATAGTTTCTCATTGGACGTGGTATTTATTGGAGTAATTTTTATTACAATTATGAGATATTTAAAATTATATTGGTGGAACGGGTTGCATGCCGCAACGGAAATGAAAGTAAATATATATATTGGGGGATCGGATTGCACGCCGCAATAGACTTATTTAAAAAGTCAATATTGGGGGATCAGATTGCACGCCGCAATAGATTTATTTAAAAATCAATATTGAGGGATCGGATTACATACCGCAACAGACTTATTTAAAAGTCTATATATACTTGATTAAAATAAATATATGAGAGTATTGAAAATGAATATATTGGGGAAGCGGTTTGCACGCTATAACGGAAATTGGTTGAAATAATAATGGATTATGACTGCTGAGTTGGCTTCAATTTTTATAAATGAGTTACCTGATTTATTTCTATTATTTGTTGTTGTTACTAATATTGCGTACAAGTTAAAGTAAGTGACCCGCTTTAGTCACGTCACTATTTCGTCGAGGTTAGGCTCAGCACTTACCAGTACATGGGGTCGGTTGTACTGATACTACACTCTGCACTTCTTGTGCAGATTTTGGAGTTGGTCCCAGCGGCGTACCATAGACTTGCTCGGATTTCAGCTACCAGAGGAGACTTGAGGTATAACTGCACGGCGTCCGCAGTTCTGAAGTCCCCGTCTACTTTACTTTAGCTGTGTGTTTGTTTCCAAACAGCTTTATTTTATTCAGACATTTATCTGTATTATTCTATAAGCTCATGCACTTATGACACCAATTCTGGGATGGTATTTAGACACCGTTATTTTTATGGATTATTCACTATATTTCAGACCTTACTTCCGCATTTATTTATTTGTTATCAATAAATTTAAAAATTATTTTAAAAATGGATAATATTATTCTAACGTTGGATTGCCTAGCAAGTGAAATGTTAGGCGCCATCACGGTCTGAAGGTGGGAATTTCGGGTCGTGACAATATTTTTTCAACATCATCCTAATATTTTTCTTTCTTCTTAAATTCAGAGAGTAGAAAAGAAATTTCAACTATATGTACTAAAGCCATAGTAACAGTAGGGTAATATGCTCAAGAAAACTCAACAGTAGTTGTATTAAATTTATGTAAAAATTTAACAACATCATTAATGGCCTCCCAAGTATTAGTTGTTAACATACGGTTTGGATCAGTACAATGCGCATTAGCTTAGTTATCGGCAATTTTGTAGCAACATTTTAAAAATAAGTATGTATAATTCCATCTAGTAACAATTTCATCTGGCATTAATTTGGGGTTAAGGTTATGCTCCGTACACTTAGTCTTAAATTTCCTAATTCTAGATTGTCTATCATTTCTTTGAATAACACCAACTGCTCTTCTAACATGAGTAATCTCAGTTGAAAATAAATCAAGACCACTTTTAACAATTAGATTATAAACATGACATGCACACCTAACATGAAAATTTTCGCCAAGTGGTGATTTCAAATATAATCTTAATATTGAAATAGCGGCATTATTGTTAGAAACGTTATCAAAAGACATACATAATACTTTTTTATTAAGATTATATAATTCAACAATTTCGCAAATAGTAGTACTTATAAAAATAGTAGCATGACTTTGATCTTCATTATATTTAAAAGCGATAATACGTTTTTGCATATAATAATTATTATCTATCCAATGACATGTAATTGTCAACTAATCATTTCCATTATCAGCATGGCCAATATCAGAAGTTAAAGAAACTCTACAAGGAAGATGGCCAAACAAATAACGTATGTATGTATGATATTGTCCATGAAGTCTAAAGATATCAAATCTACAGGTACTTCTAGGGATACCTTTAAATAAATGATTATAAATCCTTTGAATATACATAATAAGATATAATGAAGAAGCAAAAGAAAAAGGTAGACAACCCAAAGCAATCATTTTTGCTAACTCCTCACGATCCTTCATTTTATCATATTTCATAAGTCCTCCAATACTAGGGTTTAGAGTTCCTTGATTTTCATCTAAATCAGAGCCTCATTCTATAGGATGAGTAATTCTCATATGTCTACTAAGTCTCACAGTCCCTCCCTAAACTTCCTCCAATCTTATGTTTAAAATTATCTTTATAAATTTTGTATCTAACTCTATCAGAATTCTCTATTTCCTCAAAATATTTTCAAACTTTACTTCTCCTTCTCTGATTACTAGTCGGGGCCACAGGTGGTCTACTACTAGCGCCACGTCCCCCACCCCTGCTACCAACTCCAACACTACTAGGTGTAAGTGGTGTCTCGTCTTCAATTTCTAATTCATTATCTTTTCTACCGAAATCTTCCTGTAATTGTTCATAATCTATATTATTATCAGGTGATGTTTCAGAAACATGTGTAAAGTCATTTAAATTACTACTAGAAGTTGAAGTAATACCTCTTTTTTTATTTTTCTGATTATCCCGATTAGCAACCTTATTATAAACTCTTTTTGCAGCATTAAACATATTATGAAAATTTAACTACTAATAAAAATTAAATATGCAAATAAAATAGTAAATAAGAGAAAGAGTTGGAGCGAGTGCACCGAATTTCGTAATAAATTGAACACTTGATGATTTTTGAAATCTTGAAATTGAATTTCGCAACTCCGGTGTTACCACGAAGAAACGTTAGTTGCTCAAAGTTCAAAGTTCAAACTTTAAATAATACCATAAATAAAATTTCAAAAATAAAAATGAATGGCAAATAGTTGATTGCAATTTAGGTGAAGAATGAGAGAATGACAATTGAGAATTTGGGTTTGAGAATTGAGAGATGAGTGAAGAAATGAAGAAGATGGGGGGTATATTTATAGTTTTTCAAAGGGCTAAATTAGTAAATACTAAAAGTGCTATTTTTGAAAAAAAAATGCCCAAAAAAGGCTATTCTTGCAAAATAGCCATTGGGTAACGGTCAAAATGGCAGTTGACCATTGCCAACGGTCAACTTAATTAAATAAAAAAAAATCTGAAATAGCCGTTGAACGGGTTCGGTTAACCGGTTCGACTATGACTTGGCCGTACCGTTTTTGACCTGTTCGGTTAACCAGTACATCGAAACTACCCGGCACAACCCTTTCCCTGTCCCAACCCAGCCCTGCCCTGCCCCCTATATACTGGTCCGGTCCGGTCTAAAATCGATCTGGGCCGGTCCGGAACCGGGTCAACCCGGCTCGTTAGACACCCATAGTTTCAAGATAGGATATTAAAGAGAATATTTTAGTGGATATTCTCTGTACTTGTACTATTAGAGTTTCTTAGTAGCATGTTCCCTATAAATAGAAAAAAAACACAATGATACGGGATATGAGATATTCATTTGTAAAGAACACATTTTAACTAAAATAATCGAATCCCACTTGCTAAGATACAAATATCACATTTTCACTAAAATTCTTGTCTATACTTTTCCACTAGATTCGAGAATAACTCAAATATTCAAGGTATTGTGTATCATTCATCATTATTAGAAAGAACATCTACTTATTTCATCATTTCTTAGGTGACTCGTCTCTTCTATTTACTTAAATATCATTTATTATTATTCCTTATCATTGAATGCTACATTATTACTTTCGATTTCTGGAATATTTATTATATGTCACCGCCATTGTCTGACCCGATCTACATAATATTTATTGCTCCTTTAAGAGCTTCATCTAGAAAAATTATTGTTAGCTAAAATTAATCCTTATTGATATAAATTTAATTATTTGAACCGAGATCTATACTCTTTGGTCAAACACATACTTGATAGGAATGAAACATTGACGAATTGTAGTGGTGTTTTGTGATTGGTATGTGCAATGGCGGAGCCATATTAGGGTAAGAACGGTCAATTGAATTCCGTTTGATAAAAAATTTATAGTATGCACATGGGAAAGTTTCTTTTGATGGATTATTGAACTCGATTTAAATAAGAAAATGTACAAAAGTATCAACTAAAACACTATTTATACCAATTATCATATGCCACTTACTCCTTTGCCAAACTAAAAAATATTGTAAAAAAAAAAACAAAAAAAAACCCGGTTGAAAACAAAAATAAATTGACATGTAAAATATTTTCCTCCATATCATACGCGCTCCTTTACGTGTTCCGCCCCTTCCCTCGATTCTTTTCTTCTTCTTTGGCACTTCCCTTTCTCTTCCCTTATTACATTTGTGTACTCTCTTTCCAAAGCAGTGTCTAAAGAATGAGGAAATTTTGAGAGTAAAGACCCTATTTGATTAATTGTCAAAGCTCCAACATCGAATTTCACTCAGCAGGAGTATAGGTGATGACAAATGCTTTCGCTGTTATTTCAATTACTATTTGTTTTCTCAATCAGTATTTCACAATATTGCAACTTTAACTAAATTGTGCTCTGTACTTTTCCCCCTTTTAAATTGTTTCTAAATAATTTGTTAAAGGAACTGGATTTTTCTTCTTTATTTCTTTAATTTTCGATATTTGCCAACTAGTTTGATTTGTCTTTGTTGTGTGTGGAAATTGGAAGTTGGATTAAAGAAGGTTTGTGTAAAAAATTCAGCTTTCATCTGGAAATCAAAACTCTGTCTACTGTTATTGTCAATAATTATCTTGATAATGTGATTATCTGTGTTTGGTCAACCCTTTTCTTCTACATAACTCATAGGTCCTTAGACAATTGATATAGTGGGATTTCACACTGTATATGCAGAAGAGTTTATGATGTGAAGTGATGCATATAATGCAATATTTTCTCATCCCAATGAGCTTGTTTAGTTAAATGCATGGAAAGTGTTGATTAAAAAACAAATCTTTGTCTTAGAAATCAGCCCTGTAAAGGATTTCTTTGCAAAGTCCTTTAAGGGTGTGTGATAATTAAGTCATCCTCAAGCAAAAAATCATGCACAAATTTAAGCTTATGAAGAAGCAATAAATAAACCTTTCCTTTTGAGGAGCTTGATGGGTGCTGGTTTCTGAAGAAAATGAAGGGTAACATAATTAAGCTTCTTTTGGTGTTAAAGAGAATGTAACTGGCCCTATTATCTGAAATATATAGATCCTGGATTAGAAGAGCTGATATAGTAGCTGTTGCAAAGATAGATCAAGGAATTTTGCTACGTTGTTCTTGTTTTGAATGAAAGGAATCACTAAACGAGAGCAAGATTTCATAACATTTTCACCAGATTTCCTCAAATTCTCCATAAACTAACATGTCTCACAACTAGTCACAAGTCACGATCCCCTTGTCATCTGGATTCCTCCTTCTTCCCCGATACTCTAACAAAGTTTCATTCAACTGGTTTAGCATGATCCTTTTGTACTTGCTAGATTGGCTATGCCAATCCGGATAAACACCTTATATGTGCTACTTTTGAGTCTTGAAGCAAGCATTCCTTTAGTATAGTAATGCTACAGAAATTACTCTGACCAAGTTTTGGGCACGTGACTCTTGTTAGTTAGTGCAATCTCTCTCTCTCTCTCTCTCTCAATCTTTGGTGAGGATGTGCAAGCATGTTCTTTGAACAAAAGATATGTTGTGTCAAGGATTAATAATTGAAATACAGAGAAAAAGGATCTTCAGAAGTGTTTTGAGTTAAAAGCAAACTGTGATCATTATAATTGGGAGGCAGGTGCCTTTCCATCCATTGTGAAGAACTCTCCCTATATTTTTATGTGCTTGTTTTCTCCTTGGACTGAAATATAAGTATATAACTTTGTTGATTGGCAGTTTAATTTTTTATATTACTAATCTCTATATGTTGGCATTGAGAACTTTAGATGAGACTGCAGGTTCTGCATTTACTTGTAGCTAAGAGATGGAAATCCATTGTGTTTCTTGTTCATCTCCAAATTTCTTTAAGTAACTGGCACATCTGCATGTCTATCTCTATTATATCTATGTCTCTTGTCTGAGCTCTTTATCTGTACTCCTTCGTATCTTTACATCAACCTCTGTTGTCCAACTCAATCTAGTATAGAAACATTTACTTGTAGATAATCTCACTGTTGTTGGTCTGCAAGTCCTGAATGTAGTAGTTTCATAGCAATTCTATTCAATGTCAACAGAAATTTTTCAATATGTTATACATAGATGTCATAATAACCTAATTCGTGTACAAGTCTCATTAGGCTACTTTGCAATTTGAGTTTAAGGATAAGCTGATTTCAGATAACCAATAAATCTGCTTCTTGAGATTTTGTTTTCTGCATATTACCTAGTCAGCAGAATGAAGATGTTGGATGTAATAGATAAACATGAAGTGAAAGGTTACAAATTTGTATTTTGTCTCTGTATGAGCCGAATCTTTTACATGTTAAGTTTCAACTGTCGAGCCCTCCAACCAGCTAATTAAGCTTTCCAATGCATGTGATCACGTTTATTTCAAACATCTCGACAAAATGATACCTTTCTTGAGGCCTTAGTTGGAAAGTTAACCCTGTTACTGTTTGTTCTTATTTGGTTTCCATAAAACATCTGGATTCATTATTTCATTTTGTGATTTGCAAAATAATATGGTGATTTGTCTTTTGATTGTTGATGATCTAACTTTAGTTGAAATTGTACCATTTATTCCATCCAGGTAACTTCAGTCACAGTTACTCCCTCGGTCACCTAGCTTCAGTTTATGAGCAGAGGGATATGGCATCTTTAATCCACCTGCCATCTGCAACATCAGCAGTTACTTCGCGACATGCACTTCATAAACAGCTGCAATTGTTAAAAACCCAAAGAGTGCCAAATAGAATGACCTTTCCATGTATGAGCCAAAAACCATTCTCGATTTGCTGCTCAAATCAGTCACCATGGGAACCTGCACCTGTCACTTATGTTCCTAGTGATAATAATGAAGATAAATTTCTGGAAGGAACAACCAATATATTTGAAACCATGTCGTCCAGCAAACCAGCTGAATCTTCATTAACTGAGGCTAAAGGCCTCACTGATGTAAAGAATCAGCCACCTTTGCAGCTCCAATACCTCCAATGGCCTGTGTGGGTTCTTGGCCCTGCCGTTCTCTTAGCCACTGGGATGGTGCCAACTTTGTGGCTGCCTATTTCATCAGTTTTCATTGGTCCCAACATAGCCAGCCTTCTTTCCTTGACTGGACTTGATTGTATTTACAATCTTGGAGCAAACCTATTTCTCCTGTTAGCCGATTCTTGTGCTCGTTCACCAGACACCAGTGAAGATTCCAGCAGCAAGCCGCCTTTTAGTTATCAGTTATGGAACATGGTCGCGAACGTTATGGGTTTAGTCATTCCCTTGGCAGTACTTTTTGGTTCTCAGAACAGTTTCCTTCAGCCCCAACTTCCTTTCATTTCTTATGCGGTGCTCTTGGGCCCCTATCTCCTGCTTCTATGCATACAGATACTCACAGAGATGCTGACATGGCATTGGAAGTCACCAGTGTGGTTGGTGACACCGGTAGTTTATGAAGCTTATCGTGTGTTGCAATTGATGAGGGGGTTAAAGCTCAGTGCAGAACTCGCTGCACCATCATGGATGCTGCATACAATTAGGGGGCTAGTCTGCTGGTGGGTACTCATTCTCGGCATGCAGCTCATGAGAGTCGCTTGGTATGCTGGTTTCACTGCTCGGGCTCATCAGAAACAGCTACACACCCTTCCCAATGTTGATTAGGTCCAAATGATGCAACTTTCCTTTTTTTGGTTTACAGAACAAACAAGTTTTGAATTGGTATAGGCTTCTCTTTTTCCCCCTTTCTTCCCACTTCTTGTTACCCTTGTGCACAAGGAGTTGGCCTTGAGAGTATACTACTAAGATGTATGTTACCGGAAAAAGAAGAATTAAGCGTATACATCTAGATATTTGTATAGTTAAAGATGCTTGCAGTTTTTCTCTCAAATATATCTGCTGTTACGTGAACGATGGANCCTTCCTTCCAACAAAAAAACCAAAAGGACTTTTGAACAGAAGATGTCATGAATGGATCAAGTAATCTTAGAAGACACAAATTCTAGTATAAGGCAAAGGTTTTACTAAAAGTGATTTTTTTCATTTGTTAAGGCTTTGGTGGGGCAGAATTATTCGTACCGATATTAGAGAGAGATAACATGTACAGTATTTATTGAAATAATCAATGTGCTTGCAAGGTGATTAGGTACTTAAAAATATCTTGAAAGGCAAAGAGTCAAAAGTACACCAACTTTGTTTAAAGTTAGTGGGCTGGTAGCTGTTGGCTGTTAGTGATTGATCAGCCAAATTCTACAGTTCTGGAATTTTTTATGGTTAGAACTTAGAATAAATCATTTGTGGTGGAAATATGACCAAACCAGATCCTTCTCTGACTTAAATAGAGTGTCGTGATGTCATTGGTAATGTTTTAATGCTTTTTCTAGCTTTCAAGTTATCACATGCTTAATAAATGTCACCAGCACCTGTTAGAAAAGTCTAGTTAGTTCTCAATATAGCAGGACAAGCATTGTTTTATTCTACTCTAACCCCTAAAATGCGTTAGTCAACAAATTAAGCTTGCGGTTGAGCTGATATCCACCTTATTTTATATTGTAGTTGTTCTTTTTGCATATTAAATCAACTAAGTTACACCAAGGATAAATTTATCTTTTTTCGAAAAACTGGTCCAAAAATAATGTTTGATAAATAGTACAAATTTGTTGCTGCTACTTCCTATTGATTGTAGGTGAGAAAAATATTTTCCATCAAAAGGAAAAAAAAATTCTCTCACTTATCGATGAAGTCATTTTCTGTCGTAAGACTATTCCTCCTACACATATTATAGCTTACATTTTATTATATTTCATTCAGCCACATCCGATTTATCAATATCAAGCCTTAACAAGTATTCTTGTCAGATTTTCAATCACCCATCCAACCAACATTTGAAAAATAAGTGAGCAAACCACTTATTTTCTTTTAAAAAATTCCTTCATAGTAAACAATTATTCGAGGAATTGCCTATATGCAAAATCATAACTAATATTGATACATTTCGCATTTTGTATTTCAAGAGACTAAAAAAATAACTTATATTAAATGTTATTCATAGATCCAAATTTACATCAAAGCATTGCGCAGACAATGTTGAATCACACGATTTCAAATATAATATGAATAATTTACTGGACTGTTGAGGAATATGGTGTATATGAAAGTGGAGGAAAAGAGGAGCATAATTGTTTTTGTTTTTTCACAACAAGAACAGCTTGCAAAGATGATGGTTTGCTTTCATAAAAAAGATTGCTAAAAAGGAACCATAGTGCACTTTTAATACATTAGTTTGTTAATTGCGTTTGCGAGCTTTAGTAATCACCTTTTGCCTTAGCTTTTTAATGCTAATCCAATGGACCTTGGTGTCGGTAGCATCGATCGTCCCCATTGCCCATTCCATTCAAGAATTTATTTAGTATTATTCCATTAATTGATATGATTCACCAATATGCGAGCTGTATTTAATAACGTTAATATTTCATTTTTGTACTGTATCTCGATTATTTTAGCAGATACATACCACTAGCTTGTGATGTATTACATATAAATTCTAAACTATACATACTCTTAGCAATAAATTGATTTTATATCAATTAGGATAGATATCGATTACATGTTTTTTTTTTCACTTGATTTTGAGGTCAGTTTCCATGAAATGTCATCTTAAATATTTTCGTTAAGTTTTCTTATTTAAGAGGTATTAGTCTTCTTGATCTGATTGCATTGCATCAATATGGATCTAATAATTTATTGGATGTTCATTCCGATATGAATAAAATGAATTCTTACGCGTATTTTTACATAAAGAAAATATGTTAAGAAATGAGTTCCTTTCTATTTTCGAAGGCAAAACGGAATCTTCTTGAATCTAATACTTAAATGGTAGATTGACCGAATCCAACAATGACTTACTTATTTGAGAAAAAAAAAATCGAAGGTAATTGTTTTTGGTTTTTCACAACAAGAACAGCTTGCAAAGATGATGGCTTGCTTTCACAAAAAAGATTGCTAAAAAGGAATCATAGTGCACTTTTAATACATAGAATCTGTTTTTTTTTATTTTATCTTAAGTGAAAAATATAAGTGCTTTCAGGCTTCATCATTTCAAGAAATATATAAAAGAAAATTTGTGTTAAAATTAATTGGTATAATTTTTTTTATGAATAATAATAAAAGGTAGAGAGAAATGCCTTTCAACAATTGCAAACTCCATTTCTTTATGGCTATTATTATCACATAATTAATTTGACTATGAAAAAGTTAAACCTACAATAGCGAACTTAAGAAAGAAAATCAAATTTCCAAAAGGAAAAATATTCAAAAGGGAGTAAGGAAACTTAAAGGTCAAACCGAAAACTTTGATTGTATCTCTTAAACTTCAGAAGAAACGTTAGATGACAACTAAAAGGTTTTAGTTAAGTGAATTAGTTGCTAGTGTCACACCTCCTTTTTTCCGGAATAGGGAAATTTTTCCAATTAAAGTGACATTAATCAAAATGAGATTATTTATTTAATTCAGAGTCACCACTTGAAATATTTATTATGGTGTCACAAGTCGCCGGTTTATTTTAAAATCTCAAATCGAGAAAATTGACTCTATTTTACGGTCCGCGAACACAGAAGACCAGGTAAGAAATTCTTTTAACCCGGGAGAAGGTGTGAGGCACTCCCGAATTTCGTGATTTTAGCACGGTCGCTTAACTATTAATAATTGACCTAATTTTCTGATTTATTACACATTTAAAACATATTATGCATTTTTTTTACTTTTTAACCGCTTTTAATATTTATGGAATTTATTTGAAAAGTTGCGATGTTGCGCACTCGTTATTTTCGTACACATTGCAAACCGCATCACGTGAAACGTACCCGTGATTTGCAACATGTTTATTATTATTAATTTGATTTGAAGTTGTAAGGTCGAGTCACGTGAAACGCGCACTCGAATTTGAGGTTATATATTATGACTATGTCACGGGAGCCGTATCCATAGTCACGATAATTTAAAATTAATCGTTCCTAAAGCAAGCTACGATGTTCATGAATTAATTTTGCTAAACTACTTTGAGATTATTTGTGAAGCTATTGAATTGCGGAGGTTATTGTGAATGTCGTAGGTATTATGAAAGTCATTTGAAGTTATATTAATTTATAAAGGAGAGCTAGCTTACATGTTTATTGGGAACACGAAAACAAATTAATTATTCTTCTTGCCTTGGGCCCAAAACGTTGGTCATTTAACATTACTCACTAATTATGCCTAAAATTAATTTGCAAACAAATCATATGACCCACTTAGCAATTAATTATAAACTAACCAAACTAAACTAAAACAGAATACTACCTAATAAATCTCAAACAACTAATCAGAGATATTATGCAAATAATCAAACTTATAAGCATTTATATCAATGTAATCTAGCAGACTCTATTCTAACAAATAAATATCCAACATGATAAATTCAAAGAGAAGTTTAAAGAGAGGATGAACCTTTATTGCTAAAATTTCCAGCATGTACAGTAAAAGAGAAGCTCCAAAATAGCAAAAATCCAAAAAAAAAAAAAAAAAAAAAAACTTAACTAGAACCTCAAACGACGGAGCTCTAACACGACTTCACTTCGGCGTTGGCTTTTGACGGTATTTTTTGGGGCTGATTTTGGGTACTTTGAAGCTGGATTTGGGAGTATTTTGGAGTCTTAAACAAGGTGATGAATTGCTGGATTTTTCGAAAGAACAAGGAAGAAAGAATGACACGAGTAAGAATTTTCTTAGCGTAGAAGAAGAAAATAAATTCTCTTCATTCCCTCCTCTCTATTTTTTTTCTCCTTCTTTCTTCCCTTTCTTTTTTCCTTTCTCTCCTATTTATAGAAAATATTTTGGAATTTTTCATATTTTATTTTTTATTTTTATTTTTATTTTTATTTTTTAATTAAAAAGAATTTCCACTTCCCATTTTTCTTCTTTTAAAAAAAATAATTCTCCACTTTCCTTTACTTTAATTTTTTAATTTATATTTTTTACTTTTATTATATTTAAATACCTACTTTTTTACTTTTCTTTTTTTATTTCTCACTTATTTTACTTTTCTTTTTTTAAAATTTCCACTTACTTTTACTTTTTTTCTTAAAAAATTTCAGCTACCTTTACTTTTATTTTTTAATTCCAAATTTTTTTTACTTTTTATTTTTTAAATTTTCACATTCTTTTACTTTTATTTTTTTAAATTTCCACTTACTTTTACTTTTACTTTTTTAATTATATATTTATACTTTTCCTATTTATTTTATTCCCATTATATATATATATATA